AAAGCTTAAAAAAATGTTAGTTCCACTGGTTAAGCTATCACCTACATATATATGTGTGTGTGTGTACATATATATATTTGCAAATAAATAAAAAACAAGAAAGAAGGAGAACGAGAAAACTTGATTATGCTCATGTAAAGCTTAAAAAAATGTTAGTTCCACTGGTTAAGCTATCACCTACATATATATGTGTGTGTGTGTACATATATATATTTGCAAATAAATAAAAAACAAGAAAGAAGGAGAACGAGAAAACTTGATTATGCTCATGTTTAAATCATTTGGTGTAGGTTGATTCTCCCATTTAGAGCACCTTTGAACCAAATATGAAATGTTTTGAAGGCGTTCTCATTGAACACGTTCAGAAAAATATTTTTATGCAATGGTGATAACAATGATTTGCAAAGTCCATGTGTGCAGAAGGTTCAAACCGTGCTTCTTTCTAGCATAATACGATTAAAGAAATAATTCTATTATTTAAAAGGTCTAAAATCTTTTTGCAATCCTTGGTCATTAATCACCTAAGTTAGGGATGTAATACACCAAAGTTTGGCCGGACTCATTTAAGGTTGAGTGTGGGCTGCGAGTATGATGTAAGGCTCAAGTCTTTCTTGTTTATTTCGCAAGCTTGGATAACAAGGGTTCTGTTAGTTTCTGTTGTAAGACTGGAAGTTTGATGCTTCTAGCAAAAAACCGATGTTTAAAACTTTCAATATGCTAGATGTAGATCAATGTAGAGGATATTCGATACTCATAGATGAAGAAGTTGACAATATCATGTGCGATGGGATGTATAGGGCCATTGAGGGGGCTAGTGAGGTATCCCTCTTTCATCATGTTCAATGGGATGTACAGGACCATTGAGGGGGCCAGTGAGGTATCCCTCTTTGTGCAAAACTTATTGAGTTTGTGGACGAAAGAGGTAGCCGCAAAATAGAGCATTCAACGATCAGTGGAGGAACGTCCACTGAAGACCTCCTTTGAAGAAATTGGCAGGGAATAGAGGGAGGAAAACCAACACACATGACAGAGAGTGAGCAATCACTTGAGAGACGTGTAATCAAGAGTTATCACCAAAAAAACAACCCAGAGGATGAGAGTGAGAGAGACAGATCAGAAGGTTAGAGATAAACATCGACACCGGAGAAATAGTTCTTATGAGAAAAGTATCTGGTAATTGTTCTTCCTGTTCATATATCTCAGCTATAATGATGGCAGAGGGAACCGTCTGTAGGGCCCATATGAGTGACATGTTGGTTTTACTATGATGATGGACAATAATGTAGGTCCAGAAGAGCCAATTAGATCTTTTGCGGTGTAATGTTATTATAAATTATCATGCAGAGTTGGTCATCTTAACAACTATGAAGTTGCGTTTGAAAAAAATAAAAACAACATAAATTAGACTTCTAGTAGGAATGATGTAGTTTAAAACTCAATCAAATGAAAATAAGATGAAAAATTAGTGGTCTTCTCTCAAACTTCTACGTACGTATAAACCCTCACCAGAGTATGATCAATCCAACCCAAAGATTATATTACAAAAGAAAGTTCAAATCTCAGCTTAGCCAGAAATGCATCACAAATTCAGAATTCACCAAATGTCAAAGCTGAAACTAATCCAAATTAAAAATTGATAGCTTTTGGACTTAAGATCCACTTAATATCTGAGATTCGGAGGCCTGTGATTGATGCAGTACAAAGCAGATCTGAATTTCTGGAGTTAGGATTAGGAAAATTTGTTAGGACGTTAGTTTTTTTTCTCGGGATTATCTTAGTTAGTATTCGAGTTATTGTTAGAATTATTTGAAAATTTTATTTGATGTTATCTTTTAGTTAAAATTTTATTTGTTGTATCTTTTAGGTATTGTTTTGTCTTGGTTTTTCCTATAAAAAGGATTGTTCTTCTTTTGAGGAGATGGAGGATTTAATATGAATAAAAATTTGAACTAGAGAGATGAGAGTGAATCCTTCTAGACGTGAAGCTGTCGTTTCTAGTAGGCATGTGATGTGTTAGGTGTGAAGTCAAGTCTGATTAGGTGCTGCGTGTGAAACCAGCTTAACCCCCAAGTTATCTTTTCTTTTTGTTCTTTTTTCTTTAATTTTGATATTCAGATCTGCCATCAGAGTTAATCGCTTCCATTCCTTGTCAGTGAGTCATGTAGCATTACATAAAGGAGTGTTAGGCTACTTCTGGCACTTGAGCCACACATGCATGAATCATATAGAATTTGAGAGTAGACATTCTCGAAGCCCTGTGGCTGCATACTAACTTATTTCCGTGTAAAGAGCTCAATGCATCTGACCAAAATGTGATTTGATGATCAGAATAGTATACATATCGAATTTACAAGGTAGTATTTTCTTTTGTTTTACTATTTTCTTTCGTATTGTTAGTTTTAAGGAGGCAGAAGATAAATGTTGATTTAGCGTAAGGAATTTGGAATCAAGTGTGCTCATTTTGGATTGTTCATGTGAGCATGGTGAAGCTCTCTTATTGTAGGCTGTCTAAAAATTACTGCAGATAGTTGATCCCCACAAAGCACTGATGATGAGAGTTATAATTTGACAACTTTCATATTGATGAAAGTTACAATCTGACGACGTTCATGACAATAGATGATGAAAGTTACAATCTAATGACTTCCACATCAACAGAAGAAAGTTACAATTTGACGACTTCCACATCAACAGACGAAGGTTACGATCTGATGACCTTCACAACAGCATATGAGAGTTACAAATTAAAGAATCTCATATTTCAAAGAGCCGAATACAAGGATTACAAAATGACGATCCTTGCAACACTCGAGAAAAGAGATTACAAATTGACGATCTCTTCAAACCAAAACACGAGGGTTATCCCCGCGTTTCAAGTTCAAAACGCGGAGCTCACCTCCGTGTTTCAAGTTCAAAACACGGAGTTCACTACCGCGTTCCAAGCTTCAAACGTGAAGCTCAGCTCCGCGTGTCATTAGTTAGACGCGAATGTCATTTCTAGAGCGCGAACCTCGCGTTTGACCCATTCAAACACGTTTTAAATGGTTCCAAAACCATTTTGCACGTATTAAGGGCATTAAACCCTCATTAAAGAGTGATTTAAGGGATTAGTTACACCCCTTAAACCCCTATAAATAGCTGAGAAGTCAGCTACAAAAGACTCTTTTTGGATCATCTTGGAGGTCGGCACTCTTTGAGGCTTTTGTGAAGGCTTTTGTTGAAGCTTTGGAGCAATTTGTCTTGCCTTTTTAAACCGTGTTTCGGTTGAAGAACTTGGAGATTGGTTACTGAATTATTTTCAGTTGAAAAGGATTAATTTTCTTTCTAAAATCAACTCTTTTACTGAGTTCTTAAACTCGTCCAGAGTTCTTAAATTCGTTAAGAGTTCAAAACTTGCCTTGCAAGTTTTTCCCAACGTCAAGTCAAGAGGAATAGACTAACATTCCACGAAGTGAAGTGCTCGGATCGTCAACGGATACAAGAATCAAACTCTCATTGCCATCAAGAAAAACCCAGCTTTAAACAAAGGGGAAGATCATCATCGATCTTTCTCTCTTTTGTAAATCGGGAAACCGATAAGAGAAATTATAGTTTTTTTCTAAGTCAGTTAGAGAGATTACTGTGAGAAATTGTATATATTCTTTTCCTAAGTCAGTTAGGGAGATTAATACAAATTCATTTCTTCTTAAATTTTTTTCCGACAAACACTCATAAGTGAGCGCGGCCATATATTAGATTAGTTACTAGTATGATCTTGAAATCACCATGGCAGGTACCTCAAATTTCAATGTTCAGCTTAATTTACTGAACGAGAGGGTTGTGCATATAATTGGAAATTTTACTAGCTGAGGCCTATTTTTTTGGAATAAATCATAGAAAATATGGGTTCAAAGTGTCTAACTAATTGGCAACACCAACCACACTCACTTTGTAGAGTGGACCCCATGTAGATCTCCGTTAACACAAAGATTAAAATAAAATAATGCATGGACGGACAATGAAATAGAAGGAAGTGTTAGTACAAGAATGCTTTCATAAAATCTTGTAATTGCTACTTTCCAGACAAACTTTTAATCATTTATTGACAGGGTTAAATTTTGCAGGGCCTGGTAGTCTTGGAGCAAATCCGTTCGTTGGTGTTGGCTCTGTATCAGGTAAAACTGTTATAATGCACATACGAATGTGACACAACTTTTGTAAGAAGGATCAGGTCATTTACAGAAGTCATCTTTTATGTGGATATAAATTCTATGACCGACTGTCAAGGTGCTGTGAACCATCTCAGTGGGGGTGAAATGGAGCTTTATTATCTAATAACTCTATCCAAATCCCAAGCCAAATATTTAGTTTAAATCCTTAAAAGCAGATCTAAAATCAAAAGCCAAATCAGATAATTTATTGAATTTAGATTTCTGTTGGATTCCAGTTTGTTAGTGGGTTTGGATCCTCCAAATTTATAATGGATCCACAGGCGGACCTTGTGTGCTCCAACCCAAATCCAACCTGTTGGCACCCCTAAATCTGAGTTGGCTCCAAATTTATGGGCAAAGAAACTGGAGGACCTATACCAAGTTTCTGTAACATTTGAGATAAGCCAGGGACTACAGGACATCATTAACTTATTAGTTACAGAGAGTGCATGCCATCTCAGTTCCAAGTTAACTTATTAGTTGCAAGAAAGAGAAATCAGTTTACTTTCATCTACAAAGATTTAGGTAAAAGCTTACTTCCCATTTTTAGTTTGTTTTAGAGTTGAACTGCTTTCCTCTTTTCATCTCTTGGCCCATTTCAGGTATTTAAGTCTCATTTAAATTTGGTCTGCCTTTAGGCATTCTCCTATCTCATCTCTTTTGAGGAGAACACACCAAGTTAAGTTAAATCTGCTGCTTATCTTTTAGCACATGAAAATATTTTTCTCCGTTCTCTTCGCATTGTTGCACAGTGTTGAACACTAGGCACAATATTAATATTTTAAAATTGTATGAAATGGTCATTATGAGTAAATTTAGTACTGTGTAAATGTGTGATGTGATTCTTGATGCAGGAGATCAAACTGGAGTTTCGTGGGGAAACTTACCTCCATCTTTACGACCTCCTCCAGAGGGTGGTTATCCACCCCTCCCCTTTCTGGACTGGGGTTAAGTTTCTTTCAATTATTGATCTATGCAAGTACGTTCTTCGTGTGGTCATATTGCTGCAGAACTATAGTGCAAATGTAAGTACGTTCTTCGTGTGGTCATATTGCTGCAGAACTATAATGCAAAAGTTTTACCGTTGCAGTTTACTAGATAATGTAAAGTTTAATAATTTTATGGATTAGCATTATAGCATGTGCAAATGCATGTGCAAAGGGCATTAAAACTTATGTTACTTTTTATAAGAAGGGTTAGCTGCATTTTAATAACCTAAAGTTCACTGATTTTTAAGTTATATATCCTTAAGTTCTAATTTGCTTAAAAATACTCCAAATTTTTTCACGATATAATTTAAAAATGTAATATTCTAATAATCTTATAAATTTGTGATTTGAGAATAAAGTTATTAGGATGTAAGAAAGTTTCCTTCTATTTGTTATTAGGTATCAACTAAGAACACTGTAGAGCATACTTTTTTTCACAATAATATAAAAATTACTAGTAGTTGTTCAAAATGGGATGTTGTAGCCTTGAATGTAGATGTCAATTATTTGCAGGCTTGATCACAGAGAGGTCTAGAGGTTGTTTCCCCTTTGTTGATTTGAGGGAGGGATGGGATAAAGTGTCAATTCTTTCAATTTTTCCGAATTTACCACCCTTAACAAATAACAATTTCCCTTAATGAAATGCTATAGAGTGAGAATTATCCACAATTCCTTGAAATTAGCTTTGCCCTCGCTATGTTTTTGGTAAGGATTTTCCTATGATGTGCCCTTAGGGCACATGTGAAGAACCATTACATGCTTTTCAACTGCTGCTCCTATCATAGAAGAATGTGTTTCAAACAAAAAGAATCATAGAAGGATGTGTGCAAACTTAATTATTTTGCTTTATTTTAGTAAAACATATTAAATTGTTTCATGTAGATGATTAGAATTATCAATTTTCATAAAAAATCCAAATCATTAAAATTTATACATGGCCTAAGTTGCATGGAAACGGTCACGAGTATTGGTACGGGTGCGGGTGCGGGTACGGGACACGGCAAAACTGTAAAATGTAGGGTACGGGGACACGTCTACATATATATATTGAATTAATATCGTACATAAGATAATTTTTTCCCCTTCATGTGTCATTAGAATTAAAATTCCGATCACATTTTTTAGTTTCTTTTATCATATTGATTATCGTGAATTGTAAACTACTCTTTTTTTTACTAGACATCTAAACGACCCATTAACTATATAGTTTTAAACTTGGGTATGGACTGAAACGAATCCGACTCATATCTCATTAGTTTCAAAAGACGGATGTGAAGTGTAAGCTCTACGTCCAGGAAGCCTTTGAAAAGTGGACGCCTTTGAAAAGTGTTTTAAATTAACACATATGTCGTATAATTGAGTACATGTTGTAATAAATGCATGCATATAGTCAAGAAGTGTCCATAAAGTTTGGGTACGGGAAAGTGTCGGGTACGTGTCCGGTACGGGTACGGCTTCATTATAGAAGTACCCGGGTAACATAGTACATGGCTAAATAGCACTTAAATACCACAAAAATTTCAGGATTTTGGTAGTTATATACCATGGGTTGTTTTTTGTGGCAAATAAATGCCATAAGTTGTTTAAAATTGGCACATTAGTAGATTTGATCATGCAAACATGGTTTTCACATGAATGTTCCCATATGACACTAACATGTTAATTTTATAACCAATGTTACATTAAACGCTGGGCGCTCCTGGGCGCCGGACTTGGCGCCCAGCGCTTAGACGTCTAGGCGGGCGCCTAAGCGGTTTCTGGGCGGTTTTTTTCTTCTGGGCGGTTTTTTTTTTAATTGTGATACTTGAAGATAAATATATATACTCAATCAACAATACATAAATACAAAAATACCAACACAACACATATGCTATCCAAAGTATAATAGTCAATCAAAGATGCATACATACTAAATGACAAGGCATATAATATCCAATAACTAGAAGTTTATTATCCTCACAAGTAATAAGAATCTATCAAACCTGAACCAATCAACACAGATTTTTCCTTTTTAAGACTTGAACCCAATAAAAATTATCAACACAGTTACACAAGCCTACAACATCAAATTAATGAGAACCCAAAACTTGAAGACGAGCTCGGAATAAAAAAAAGGAAATTGAAATCGAAATAAAAAGGATTAGGGTTTTACGAAGCGAACTGTCAGCTAAAGACGAAGACGAAGACGAACTGTCGAAGACGAAGACGAAGACGAAGACGAGCTCGGTTGGAGACGAAGACGAGCTCGGTCGGTCGGAAGTCGTCGAGTCGAAGGCGAGCTCGGTCCGAAGTCGTCGAGTCGAAGACGAGCTCGGCAGGTGAGATCGAAGACGAACTCGGTCGGAAGTCGTCGACGTCGAGTCGAAGACGAAGACGAGTCGAAGACGAGTCCGAAGTCGGTTAAAGACGAAGGTGAGATCGAAGATTAGGGTTTTATTTTTGAGTTTGGGTTTTGGGTTTTGGGTATCGGGTTTTGGGTTAGGCTTTTTTTTTATTCGGGTTTTTGGGAGCGCCCAGCTCAAAATTTGCCTATGGAAAAGTGGGGCGGGCCGCTTAAGCGGCCCGCTTATCCCTGGGCGGCCGCCTAGGCGCTCCCAGCGCCTAGACGTGGCCGCTCAGGGCTAAGCGACACGCTCTGGGCACCGCCTCCGCCTAGGCGGGCGCCTAGGCGGCCGCCCAGAGCGTGTTTTACAACACTGTTTATAACATTCTAACCCCATTAATATTTGTTAAATTTATTATTAAAGATATCCTAGCTCTATTTTGAAGTAGAATTAAGATAAGTTCAAAAACGAATTCTGATAGATTTAATAGCAAATTATCAAATATTAATAGTTAGAAAGCTCTAAAATTAGCATGCACGTATAATAGAGAAACATTCGGATGAAATTTTTCATGTTTGCTAATGTGCCAAGTTTAAACAACTTATGGTATTTATTTGCCACAAAAAACTACCCATGGTATTGAAGTGTCAAAACGAGGAAACTTTGTGGTGTTTAAGTGCCATTTAGCCTTTACATATCTATATATTAATATGATAGTGGAGATACTTGGGGAGCATTTAATGCTTCTGAACATACACCCCCTAAGGGCACATTATAGAAAAACCCTTTATAATGTAGTTTAGATGTTCAATTTCCTCTGACAATAATAATGGTGTGTAAAGAAATTCGGTGCCCTTAAAACATATACACGAAACCTAGACTCATCATTTGGGTAAGAGAGAACCTGAGACAGTGGAATGATAACACTTTTAACAAAAAGGATAAAAACTGTTTGATATTTAGAACCAGCCTTCTCTAAGGAATACGAGCATTGCTTAGGAGATAGTATGCGCAATCATGTTCTCGTCAACAGATTGAAGCAAGCCAAAGGGTAATGCATCAAACATCAATTCTAATATTGATCGCATAACATTTGGAGAGGGTTGTTTTATGGATTGAGAATAGAGCTAGAATTTGTTTCCAGATGGATGGAAAGTTCCTAAACTTGAAGGGACCTCTCTCTTGAATGCTGAATTGGGTGAAATTTCTGTTTGTTTGAGCTTTGAACAGGTTATGTTCTACTCTGAGAAAAGGATGGTCTCTGTACGAAATCTAAAGGACGGATCATGGTTGTTCTGCGATGCCTAAGCCAAAAATCTAAAGGACAAACTTTTGAAAGGCTTGAAGGTGGCAAGTGGAAGGATTGAAGATGGAGAGTGGCTTGAAGAGAGTTGTTACTAAATCCATAATGCAACCCGCTTCGTTATCACTGGGCTAGGCCTCAGTGTTAAAACTATTATTGCCTTGAATTTTAATTCTAAGTCTGTATCGGACTTTGATACTGTTGTATTTTTCTTTCTTTTTCTTTTTCTTTTTCTTTTTCTTTTTCCATTTTTTTGGGAAAATACACCGTTGAAATTAGTTTATTAGTTCTTACAGTTCAAAGTAGTACTTTCTGGTGTAGTTGGACTCTTCACTATTAGATGCTGCTAGTTAACTTGTTGAAGATTTGTCTGGTTCTCGACAGAAGATAAAGAGCAACGGTTTCAGATTGTTGGAGTTGATTGCGTCCCTTCATATTGTGAGCATATTGTGAGCATGTTGCAATCTCATAGTTTTTGTTTTCCTGAAATTGGAAGTGAAAAAACACCATGCTCAGTGTGAATTATATAAAAATATTTGTCGTATACCACGGAATGATAAATTATTCTTGCGTCCTGTGGTTTGCATCAACAAATGTTCCGAGCCCAACTGTATTCTTCTGAGGGCTAGTGCGTATTTCGAGTACAATGCAATATGGATAATGGCTTTGGTAACTTCTCATGAAATGCTTAGGTTATAACATCTTGAGCAGAATACTATTTACAGAAGTAATTGAGTTGCCAAAATTTTACTTGCAAAAAGATCTTCACTTGCTCAATTAAAAAAGAAATTTTCTAAATAAACTCATTCCTAATTTTAATCTCAAATTTCGACTCTATTCAAACTTATTATAAAAATCGACCGACTTTCTCGTCACGTCAGCATCGTGGTCAGAAAGTGGGTCGATTTTTTTAAACGCGATCCTAATTAGTCGGGGTTGACAACCCCGACTATTTTGGACCTCGCCGACTATTTTGGATCTTCGACAAAATAATGACATGAGCTCGAATTAGGCATTTCGAAATGATCGGAGTTCCCAACCCCGAGCAATTTAAATATGTGCTAAATTAGTCAGGGTTTCGAACCCCGACTAATTAGGTTGCCAAATTATCGGCGAGGTCCAAAATAGTCGGGGTTGCCAACCCCGACTAATTAGGATCGCGTTTTTAAAAAAACCGGCCCACTTTCTAGTCACGATGCTGACGTGACGAGAAAGTGGGTCGATTTTCATAATTAAGTTTGAAGTGGGTCGAATTTGGGGAATAAAATTAGGAATGCGTTTAATTTGAAAATTTCTTCCTCAATTAAAATATAGATCATAAATTTTTTTGGCTAATAATGATTGGATAAATCATGCACGCCCATGAAGAGATCAAAGAAGGGCTGCGCGCGTGTGCCGAAAGAAAAATTAGAAGCCTCAAGAATCTCCACAAGATTGCACCCAAAGTTCCACTCACAACCGTCCTCGGCTTATCTTCTTCCCACCCTCATAAAATTTTAAATACTTCTGACAATAGTGCGACTAGCTCATGCCTCCTTGCTAAAAATAAAAAAATAAAAAAATAAAAATAAAAAGGAAACTCTTGCTTGGGACAAGACTTGGAGCTTGAGGCTTTTACACGTGTCTTGAAAACACCACCTTAAATGATAGCATGAAGTGTTATGCCTCCCCTACTTTTGCATCAAAACTTTTGAACTGTCACCAAACCGTTTCTTACGTATATAACCAGATACATTAAATAGTATTATATATGAAATCAAATATTTTTGACACGAAATTATACTAGCAAATAGAATATATTTTGCTCCTCAAATAACTGAAAGTGATATAAAATCCAAAAAAAAAAAAAAAACCCCTGGAGATATGACTAAAAGAGAAATTTTCCCTCAAATGTGCATTGAGTAGCTACTAGGCTAGGGTTGTTTGGTATGTTGCAATTGTAAACGCAGCAAATGTTGCATACAGTAGTACTGGCTATAGAAAATTAACCTGAAATCATTTTAGTTTAGGAAACGTGTTTGCAAATCAAAATTTAATCTAACGCTCGGTTCGATGCAACAGATTTTCATTGCAAATCAAATTCTTCTTAATTCAAAATTGTAAAAGAATTACATTTTCTGATTTGTTTTAACTAATTTGATTACATGCCGCTAAGAAAAGGAATGACAACGTTTGTTGCGGCCAAATCGGCTGTAGCAAATGCTGCAGCTTTTTTTCTACAACGTGTAAATCCATTTACATTTTCGAACTAAATTTTTTCCTACCAAAACACTAGAAATAAAAATTTTGTCGCAACATTTGCAGCTGCAACTCTATTTCCTACCAACCAAACAACATATAGATCAGTTTATGGCTTGGACAAATTCATGATCTGAACGAACCTGATGACACTTGCTTTCTATTCCAACAATCACATCATATGTAGATTACAACGGCGTACATTGTATTGGGTTGTCGTGGCATCGAACCAAGGTCCTGATCATTCTATTGAAGCTCCCAAAGGATTCATTCTATACAAGATGCATGTAATGTGTATATATGTGCTAATAAACTGAGCTCGATTATAATCTTTATGGTTCTAGCTTCAAGTTGATATCAGTAATGGATTAAAACAGGGCATATAAACCATTCGTTGTAATAAAGAATAAATATGAGACTGGAGACAGCCAGCTTGTTTTAACAATTTGATATTTGTCATAGACTGTACGTACGAGACTTGCATGCTTACAAGATGAACTGAATATGGACACTCCATAAAAGGACAAGCTCTCTCACAAACTTAAAAATGGAAGCACATAATCCTTAATTAGAGGCCTCAATATAACATGTCTTAATTAAGGATTGTTGATATTTTAAAACCATATATTATGGTCTCAAATTTACATGACATCTTCGCATTTAAAGAGTTGACCAGTAATAGAGATATTTCAACTAATATCCTACCCTCTTTCCTTCTTATAGCAAAGGCTTCACGATTTCCAGCGAAAAGTTCATGGGCTTAATTATCTCCTTCCATAACCAAAAATTTCGTTTCAAATATTGTCTAATGAATTTAATCAAAAATTTCATAAAGTCTCCCGCTTACAGTTAGTTAAAAACAACTCCCAATGACTAGACTTTGAACGTGGGCTTGTTCTCTTACCCTCTCTTCTCCTCAATAACTAACACCAATGTAACAGAAGTCACTTCGAGGTCTATTTTGCAACAAAAAAGAAAAAAAAAGAAAAAAAAATTTATCTTTCATTTGCAGACTCCACATTCTCAAAAAAAGCCATAGCCTGAATGGATGTGGTCGGTTGTCAACACTTAGAATAATGAGAAATAGTGCTCCATTGTTGAAGAGAGGAGAAGAAGGAAGAGCCACAAACTGATTACTCTCCCACTATCTGCTTGTATACTATAAAAGCTCACTTCTATAACTCCCCAACTTGTCTCTCAACTCAATCATCACCCTCCTCTTCTAACTCTCAATCTTCTTCTCTAAGGCCTAGTTGATAGGAGAAAGCGACAACCACCGGCCGCAGTTTTTGAATTCTAACTCCCAAACCTCTGAAAGAGATGGATATGGCTTGATTTTTTTCTATAAATTAACACTGCATGCCAAGTTTCTTTTATAGCAACATTCCCTCTGTTCTGAACTTGAGTTTGTTAAGAATGGAAGCTTTGGTGCTTTTCCTATGCATTGCCTCTAGCTTCTGTATTGTTAACGGGAGAAGTGGCAATCATCACCATCATCACTATCATAACAGACACCAGAGCATTGCTCTGCCTCCAATGGCTGACTCCCCTGACGAGTCTGCACTTCCTCCTACTCTCTCTCCTCTACGAAACTCCACGAACTCGACTTATGTTCCTCCTACTTACTCTCCATCACGAAATTCTACTAACTCGACTTCAGTTCCTCCTCCACTTCCCTCACCTCCTGCTCATCCTCCTGCTTCCACACCAAACTTCCATGCACCAGCTCCTTCTCCTGCAAGTGGGGTTACAAATGACAACTCCTCAAGCTCGGTTGCTGTTTTCAACGTGAGATCATTTGGGGCGGTGGGCGATGGGGTCTCAGATGACACTGAGGCCTTCAAGAGTGCATGGGACTCAGCGTGTCAAGTTGGTTCAGCGGTTGTGCTCGTGCAAAAGGGATACTCGTTCATGATCAATTCGACCATTTTTGCAGGTCCTTGTCAAAATGGTGTCATATTTCAGGTATATTGATTTGTATTAACCTCTTATTCTTTCATTGTTCGATGTGGTTTTCTTTTTTTTGTATTCTGAGTTATGTTAATTTTCTGATTTTTAAGGTTGACGGCATTGTTATGCCACCAGACGGTCCTGATTACTGGCCGTCAAACAATAGCAAGAGGCAATGGCTTGTGTTCTATCGAGCTGATGGAATGTCGATGCAGGGATCGGGACTCATTGATGGCAGAGGAGAGAAGTGGTGGAATTTACCCTGCAAACCACACAGGGTAAAAATATATGCTCAGAGATTTTATCCTCATATAACTAATCAGTAACTGACATGCCCTTTATGTAACAGGGGATTAATGGAACAAAATTACCTGGACCTTGTGATAGCCCTGTTGTAAGTTGTACCGCTCTTTGACTGACTGTGTTAATTATCACCTCTTTTCACTTAAAACTAATTTTTTTTGTGAATTTTTATTATAGGCATTAAGGTTCTTCATGAGCTCGAACATTTCGGTCCATGGACTGAAGATCCAAAACAGCCCCCAGTTTCATTTCAGATTCGATAACTGTCGGAATGTCACAGTTGACAGTATATCCATCAGCTCACCAGCTCTGAGCCCCAACACGGACGGAATCCATGTAGAAAACACTCAGAATGTTGGAATTTACAACTCAGTCATCTCCAATGGTCAGTTCAATTGGCTCTGAACATAACATAAACTCTAACCAATAAAGTAAAAAAAGCTAACGAGAGTTATGTCTCTGTCTCAATCAGGGGATGACTGCATCTCTATCGGATCTGGAAGCATGCATGTTGACATTAGAAACGTAACATGTGGGCCAGGCCATGGTATCAGGTAAACTAAAAATTCCTCTTTCTCCGTGAAAATCCAAAGAATAAAAAGATACAATGATTTTCTTACAGATAACTCCACTTATTTGCAGCATTGGGAGCCTAGGAAAAGCAAATACTCGAGCATGCGTAACAAACATAACTGTCCACAACGCCATCATAAAGCACTCTGACAATGGTGTCCGAATCAAAACCTGGCAGGGTGGATCAGGGTCAGTCTCATCTATCACATTCGATAACATCCGAATGGATACAGTTCGAAACCCAATCATGATCGATCAGTACTACTGCCTGTCAAAGCCGTGCAGAAACCAATCAGCAAATATCTTCATTTCTGATATTTCGTACTCCAACATTAAAGGAACTTATGATGTGAGAAGCCCCCCAATCCATTTGGGGTGCAGTGATTCAGTACCATGCACAAATGTTACGCTAACAGAAGTCGAACTTTTACCTGCACAAGGGTATGTGATATCTGACCCATTCTGTTGGAATGTGTATGGGACGTCACAGACAATAACGATTCCTCCGGTAGCTTGTTTGCTCGGAGGGTTGCCAAAGGCGATTATGGACTATGATTCAGAGATTTGCATTTGATTTTATATCAGAGCCTGTGATATAGTTAGCAATGGTGTGGTAGCCTTGAAGCTAAAGCCACCCTCACAGCTACTGTAACTGTAAACTCGGAATTTTCTGATAAAAGTATAAACAATATGCACTTATGTTGTTGTGATCTTGAAGTTTGATCATATTGCTGCAATCAAACTAAGTTCAGAATCGTGGACAAGTATAAAATCAAAATGGTAAACATGTGAAAAATCAGGTTCCAGTTCATATTTTAATAGCAGAAACACCTTGGAGTTCAATGAATGTTAACTGTAATTTCAAATAATAACTGGATGGTTTGCTCGAAAAATTATCTTAGAGGAAGAATTATTTTACTTAGACCACAAAATTACCCAATTAGTTTTATCCAGATCTAAAGATAAATTTCCCACGACACGAGCAAAATATACAGTACTTTCATCAAGTTTATGGGGTCTTTTGGTTTTAGTTAACTCTATTAGTCCATAATCACGATTTGATGACCACATTTACTACTTATAGTTCATCGTTCTGGACTAATTTTATTTGTTCAGGCGAAGTTTGTTTTGGCCATCTCTTTTGAAGCATTTTGTTTCAGATAGCGGGATCCCTGGTCTCCTGTATTTTTGGGTCTCTATTTTCATTTAAGTAACTTTTGTTAGGCTAGAAGACATTCTCTTTCTGTACATGTAGATGTTTCAGTAGACTGTTATTAGTGAAACATCTCCAGCTGTAGGTCTAAAACTCCTCATGTTCATGTACCCTCAATACTAAAATCACACAATATAACTTGGGTCTAAAATTCAAGCTATTTTTTGTTGTTATGATTCAATGTTACAACCTGTACCAACCAGAATTAATCTACATGTATTATGTACTTACAATGTAACAACCTAGTGACAACAGGTACCCACTTTTCCATCAAAAAAACAACCATAACATAATTGATGCATTGTTCTGAAACTTTGATATTCAAATACTTGTTGCGTACTTACATTTGCTTTCGGGGAAATGATAGATTCATCTCAGAACCCGCTAATGTTCATCCCTTACATCAATATATTAAGATATCGAGAAGATCAGGCTTTGCGTTACACAAAGAGGACCTAAATTACTAACAAGCTTGAAACATACAAAATATCCTACCACCTCCAAAAGGTTCCTTCTGCATAGTTTTACGGAAACCCAAAAAGGAGTTAATAAAACAATTAGTACTAATGAAGGAGCTGAAGACTAGAAAAGGTGTTCTACTTTAAGTAATACATGCATGAATAATCTATCTCTAACACTAGAAACAATAATGACAATAAACAAGTGATTGGAGTCTTATAAATCAGAAAGCCTCAAGAAGTCATGAACGCATGCATTCTTAACTTTTTTGAAAACAAAAAGCAAGTTCGCTGTACATATTTAGTGGAAAGAAAATAAGCTACTCTCACTTGCTCACGCGTGCATGCAATGGCTGGTAACTATCATGACGAGGGCACAAACATACTGGGCAGGTGCACAATTGATAGACGATTTTCGTGTTTGTTTCTCAAGAGTTGTAATTTTTGATTTGTTGTGTAGAAAAATTCTTATAAAAAGATTATTCTTTCGAATTTGTTGTAATCGAACAAAGTTATAATGAATTCCACAGCAGCGACTTTTGAACCAAACACCTACTCATCACCTCCTTCAAATCCATAAATTCAAAGAGAAGAATGAATGTAAGCACTCCCAATTTTCTTCCTTCCCTTCTCTCTCCACCAACTCCTTCAATTACACCCATCACCTAGGAGGAATTCTTAATTATATTATATATGCTCCATTCTGAGAGTTACAACTTACAAATAGTTAGGATAGAGTCCAGAGTGTCAGTGAAATTTACAATGTTATGAAGAAGTAATTACTCCTGTTACTCTCAGGTTCAATGCTGGCAGTTTTCCCAAGGTATTGCAGCATGCAAGGCTGCAGCAATTGTAGAATCTGATAAGGGTTTCAAGTCCGTGGAGGTATACTCTTCTATTCACATATTCCTTTTGTTTTTTGTCAAGTAAAGCAGGGAACTTTATTACCAAAGCATGAAGTACAATCTCAAAACTCTCAATCCCTATACATAAAATCTATGCAAATAAGGGAAAAACTCTCACATGAGAATACAACCTTCTATTTTCTATGGTGTCTTGCATCCTCTGTACAGAATTAAGCCTAATCTTCAACTCATAGAAAAGCTGGCTCTTTTACATTTCAGTATGTGGTTGTATCTGCTTAAAGATTAGTTTGTTGCTTGTTCTCCATATACTATACACAGCTGTTGCAAGGCCTGCTTTTACGTCCGTTGTTTATCCCCTTTCCAGAACATTTTTTTCTCAAACCAGTGCGGGACTTCAGGCCAATTTTGATGAGTAGTGGGTACTTGCAAACAATCTCTAACTCTACTCCACTCATCTCTACTGAACTGACTTCTAAAAAATAAATGGTTGGCAATTTCATCCTGCCACAAGCAACTATCAACATTTTGCTGAACCTCTTCCTTAAATTCATCTCTCACACTCCTGAAGCTCCATGATTGTCTTTGCCTCTTCTAAATCTCCCATATATTCTGGTTTTTCATCTCTCACACTCCTGAAGCTCCATGATTGTCTTTGCCTCTTCTAAATCTCCCATATATTCTGGTTTTTTAGGCACACATCATGAAGCCAATCATGATTGTCTTTGCCTCTTCTAAATCTCCCATATATTCTGGTTTTTTAGGCACACATCATGAAGCCAATTCACCCACAGAGAGTCTTGTTTCATTAACGCGATAACATTCCACATTATCAGATTTTTGAAACCCAAGCATCCAGATTTCTTAGGGTTACATACATCCTCCCACCGACCAAGGTTTTTCTTTCACTTAATTCTTACCCGCTCCACATGAACTTCGTACAAGTTTGCTCCACAGTTGCTAGCAACTTCCTAGGCAGCAAAAGTATGGAACTCCAGTAGACCTGAATGCTAAATAACACTGAGCGCATCAACTGTGCTCTACCAGCATAGGACAATATGTTTCCAGTCCAAGAGACGACCTAGCAGTAATTTTATCTATCAAAGGCCTACAACTATTGATAGTAAGACTTTTATCAGTCAGAGGCACCTAGCAGTAATTTTATCTATCAAAGGCCTACAACTATTGATAGTAAGACTTTTATCAGTCAGAGGCACACCAAGGTACCTCATAGGGAGATGTCCTTCAGAGAAATGGCCAAGAGCACACGTTTGTGCTCTATTCTCCACTGAAAGCCAGAAAAGAATATTTTACTCTTATTGTCCTGAGCCAAGAGACCTGTAGCCTTCGAAAAATTGTCAAAACAGCTGATCATTGCTTTCACAGAACCAATATCTCCTTTACAAAATAGCAAGAGGTCAACAGCATAGCACAAATGAGTTATAGTGGGCTTCTTGGATCTGGGATGATATCTGAACCCCTCGAACTCATGCATATTAGTTAAAAGTCTGATAATGTACTTCATAACGATGACAAATAGACCAGGTAAGAGAGGGTCACTCTGCCTCAAACCCCTCTCACCTGCAAAGTAACCACATATAGATCCATTAATGGCAACAGAGAACATAGGAGTAGAAATGCACTTGATCATATTCCTTTTTGTTGATTGATCGCAACTGTATAAAATGCACACTGAGATAGTTTCTCGCAGGTAATCAAATACAAGGATTTTGAACGTATGGGTAGCGTTGCTGCTGTTAAGGCTTGCAAAAGTTGCCTGTATGAAGACGGTAGCTACTGTATCGAAGATGGAGGTATCATTCTCATTCAATTTTGCATATAATATTGTATTACCTTACTTGTAGATAATACTACGGTTTCAAATGTCACCCAGATTAATTTTAGTAAAAGGCGGTTCTCTTTGTTGGGAGGATTTTTGAATTATTCTGGGATGTTCTTTGAACGCCCCCCCCCTCCCTCTTCCTCCCCTCCCTACCTTGTGGTAAGTCATGTTGGTCTAAGGGTTTGTTGTGTTTGGCTTAGGAGAATGCTTTTGTTCTTAGCTTATTACTATGCTCTGATATTGCCATTGAAATTCATTCATCTGCTTTTTTCTTATTCAGGTTCGAAAGTCATTTTTTCGATTATTTTTCTTCATTGGATTATGCTAAATATTCTAGATCACTGGTGAGCATTGGCTGGGTTGTTGTTAGTCGTCATTTAATTTTTTGGCGTGCACCCGCTCTTTGCCCACCTAAGTGCTTGATCGAAGGCTTTACCTTCATTTAAATTTTTTTTTTTTTTTTTGGTTTGCATACTCATTATGAGGGGGGGGGGGGGGGGGGGGGGGGGGGGGGTTGTCGGGTGGCTTTCTATTTTTATGTGTTCTCTTTGGCAAATTTGTCAACATGAATCAGCTATGCAATACATTCATATTTGTTTTGAATTTCTTATGTTTCCTTATTGATGTTCTCTCAACATTTCGTAACTATTGTTTTGTGTTTTTTTTGCTGTTACATCTTGTATATGATCTTCATTTTGGTTGAACCAATTAACTTAAACGGTAGCCTTGTTGTCTATTTTATTTAATGTTTTCCATTA